TACTAATTTTGCCATTATTTTATTAATAATTTAATATTTTTGTTAATATAAATTTTATTTACATTTTAATAATAATTAAAATGTATTTCGGTAACATTGATAATAATCAGAAATGTTTCCCCTGTGTCAAATGTGCTATTTAAATAAACTTCCCTTGCCTTGCCTTAAAAAAAAATTTTAAAAAAATGGCAATTTAATTGACCTGCTTGATAATTTCAAGGGATTTAAGAAGGAAAACAGGGTTCAAGTCCAAGTGAGAATCAAAAGCAAAAAACAGGCAGAAATGATAGGACTGTCCATCGATCTGAACGGATTGTCATCATTTTGTGGTTTGCTCTGTTATCTCTGATCGCCGGCGTTTGCGTGAGGTGGCCCTGGATCTCGCTGCGTCTCTGAGCACAGAACAGGCGACCAGGTGGTGGAAAATGGTTCCGTAAAAAATGAATATATTTTCCTGTGTTCTTTTTTATTTTGTTTACATTTTTAACAAAAAAATCCTAATAAATTTTAATTAAAAAAATGTTTTAATTAAAATGTATTTTTAAAAATGTATGTATTAATAAAAATAATTCATATTAATTAATATTATTAATAATTAAATAAAATTGCATAATTTTTACTAATGTTTTCTGATTTTTCATTATTTTATTAATAAAAACAATGTCATAATATTTTATTATTAATATGATCTTTTATTTACATTTGAATAATAATTTAGCTTTAAAATGCACTTTTGTAACATTGATTTAAAATATTGAGCAGCAAATCAGCATATTAGAATGATTTCTGAAGATCATGTGACACTGAAGACTGGAGGAATGATGCTGAAAATTCAGCTGCGCATCACAGAAATAAATTACATTTTACTATATATTCACACAGAATGCAGTTATTTTAAATTGTAATAATATTTCACAATATTACAATTTTTACTGTATTTTTGATCAAATAAATGCAGCTTTGGTGATTTATTTCAAAACCCGACCACAAACTTTTGAACAGTAGTATACTGTAGCTGTATATTAACCATCTAATATGATCTGGTCATTTGTGAATTTATACTCATGCATTACTGATGATGGACAGAAATATGACTTGTCGTGTCACACCTGGTTAAAGCGCGGCGTGAAACGCTCGGCCCAGTTTCCCTTCTACTGTCCTTTACTGTCAGCAGTAATGCATTATTCAAATATAATGCCTGAATAATCACTGAATGTGTATGTAGGTCAGCAGCGGGGCTTTATGACGGCCATTATGCTGCAGATTCAGTCCGAGTGAAGTTCTCAAATGATTTTACGCTGAAGCAGAACAGAATGTGTGTTTGTAGAGAAACGGACAAGCATCTGAGCCTCAAAACATCACACAGGCTCCGTCTTCACTGTCATATCAACAAGAGTCTGCTTCTTAGAAAGACCCCTGCCAGAACGGCCAGTTCTGCAAACATAATGACTGTTTTCAAACAGGTTTCTCAGAAACGCCACAATGGTCCATCACGCAGCTCTCTTTCATACGAAAGAGACATAAAACATGGACTTTATACTGTATTCAGACTCTTCTGAACTCACATGATGCTTTGTGTGTTGTTGAAGAGACTGATATTACAGTCATTAAAATCAGACTTTACACAATTTGAATCAGATTTTCAATTAATAAAGTGTTAATAATTCGGTTTAGTGCAGCACAGAAATGGCCTAAATGTGCTATATTTACACAGGATTGACAATTGTATAGAGATTGACTGCTTTTGGTGTTTTTAGTAGGTGTTTTCATTATTAGTTAAATGATAGCTAAAATTATTTAATGTTTAGAAAATATTATATAATATTGTATAAAATGTAAAAAAAAATATTTTCATTAAAAAAAATTTGGTGTTTTTAGTAGGTGTTTTCATTATTAGTTAAATGATAGCTAAAATTATTTAATGTTTAGAAAATATTATATAATATTGTATAAAATGTAAAAAAAAATATTTTCATTTTATTATTAATTAAAAATCTGATTCAAATTGTGCATTGTCAGGATAGCAAAATAAATATTTACTCAGTGTTCACTTTCAAGTGGTATAGGTTTTTTTGTGTGCTTTTTTGTTGTTGATTTTTTCCCCTTATTAATTTATTTGAACAATAATTGGAGTAATAATTTAATAATATTAATATTATTTTAAATTATTTTAAGAATTTAGCTTATAAATGCATTTCTGTAACATCTGTGTAAGTCAAATATATATTTACCAACATGTTTGCTATTTTACATCTAATTATTTTATTAACAATAATTTTAATAGTTTAGCTTAAATGTAAAAGTAATTAATGTATGTACAAATTAAAATTTTTTTTTTGCTTTTTAATGTTAAAGTGTCATTATAGTAATATTTAAGATCATTTATATGCTTAAAAATGCATTTCTGTAACATCTCACTTATGCATGAATGACTATTATGTAGAGGACAAATATTTTTATGAACATTTTTTGCTTTTTTTACAGTTGTTATTTTAATACTAATAATTTTGTATTAAAATGTAATTTTTTAGTAATCATATATTGTTTAAAATGCATTTCTGTAACATCTCACTTAAGCTGTTATGTAAAAGTCAAATAATTAAATTTAACATTAAAATATTAGGTAAAATTGAAGAATCATTTTGGAATTTGATCTTGACTCAATGAATCAAATCTGTCTGAATCATGAGGAGCAAAATATATAGGTTCATTTTTTTATTTTTTTTTATTTGTTGTTCATGTGAAAGATCATGCGTTCAATCAAACTACAATATTTTGGCCCAAAATTGTCCTTGTTCTACTGTAAGTCATGTTAATGATTTCACATATTGTTGGGCCTTTGCAGTTCAGGGTAATATGAATAAAATCATTGGACTTTAAGGACTTTTTGTGTACTTTTGCACATGGCAGATGTGTATCTGAGCGTGCTCTGTTAATTGCAGGCATCATCAGCGTAACGACGGCTCTGACAGATGAGTTGTTGTGTGTTTGTAGGTGGCGGATCTGGAGGCTCACGGCGGTCAGGGACCCAGCGACATGCTGAAAGATGAGCTCACCCAGTCCCTGGAGGAGCTGGAGAACCTGCTGAAGGCAAAGGACGGGGTGAGAGCCGACACACACACACACACACACACACTCACTCACACACACACACAGCGACCTACTGATGCTCTTCACTGAAAGTCACTAGTCCAGTTACTGCAATCATCTCCTCAAACTCCTGCGTATAAGACACTAAACACAGTGAGGCCTCGCTGGATTATATGCTTCTGCACATTATTGCATTTCAGGAGATCCGTATTCTCCAGAGTAAGAAGTCCAACTTCCACGAGCTGGAGCAGGAGAGAGAAGAAGCCATTCACAGACTGCAGGTGCATGCTTCACACCTATGCAACATTTCAAATAAAAAGGAAATAAAATAAAACAAAACAAAAGACTAATTCTAAAGTATTAATAATTAAATTGAATGCATCACAGAAATGGCATAAACATAATTACAAATTTTTTAACCTTTACATTTTTATTATTATTATTATTATAAGTATATTTCAAATAATAATGATTTTAATTAAAAATATTTATAATATTTTAATATGAAAAATTATTATATATTAATAATTTAGCTTACAAATGACATATTTTATACAAAGTTGTTCTTTTAGATTATTTAATTAAAATAACATTTAATTTAATATTTTAATAACATTAAAATTTATTTGAATAATTATTTAGCTACAAAATATCTTCATGGAACAAAAATAATCAAAAAATCTATAATTTTGACCCATACAATGTATTGTTGGCTATTGCTACAAATATACCCCAGCGACTTAAGACTGCTTTTGTGCTCCAGGGTCACATATAAATTTTAGGAACACATTAAAAGATTACGTAAAACACTGTTACGTAGATTGACTGTTAACGCTGTTATTGCTTAATTTTAATATTTTACATTAACTTGCTATTTTAATAATAACTAAAATAATAATAATTTTAAGCTAAATTATTATTAAAATAAGCATCACGCTTTTCGGTATCATCTACAGAAGTAAAAAAAAAAAACAATTTTTACAAATACTTTCAAAAAGCTCACTTAAAAAACAATTGCGAATCATGTGTTTACTTTTATATTTCTTCCTCCTGCAGTACTTCAGTATGCAACTGCTTTGTTTAATTGACTATGAGAGTTTTCTAAGAAGGCATTTTCCAAATGTAGAGGCTTAGTTACTGTGAAGGTTCTGGTGAGATCTGACCCTGGACATCTGAATGTGTTTCAGGAGCTGGAGATGCGTAACGTTGAGCTGGAGCGGCGCGTGCAGAGCGCTGAGCAAACCCTGGTGTCTGCGCTGGAGGATCGCGAGCGCGCCGAGAACGAGGTGCAGAGGGTCGCTCAGATCCTCGACGTCAAGATCTTCGACCTCAACGACCTTCGGCAGAGTCTGGTCAAGCTCATCAATAAATAGTGCGACCCTGCTTTCTTCTCGTTCATCTTGAATTTGCACTGAAACGCTCTTTCTGTTCCAGTCTAGCAGTAACTTCAGTGTTGAGGATGTTACGATGGCAGATCATGAACAGTGTGGCTACGGTACGCTTTATTTTTGATACAGAAACACTAGTGCTGTGTGACATCTTTACAGGATCACAAGTATGATTTTTTTTCGTAATTTTTTTCTTTTAAACCATGCTAAAGGTCACACATCATGAAAAATAGGCTGAAAAAAATTTATTCACAAATGCATCACAAACGATTCTGGATTAATTCACAAAAAATTTATTTTAAAGGATTAATAATTAAGTTTAGTGCAACACAAGTTGTGTTAAAGATTTTTATTTATTTATTTTTGGCATTTTTACATCATTTAATTATTTCAAATTATAATTTAGTTTAAATAATAATATACCATTAAAATAGTAATTTAATACAATTTTAATAATATAAAAAATTATTATATTTTAATAATAATTTAGATGAAAAATTCACACACTTCTGTAAAATTTCACTTTGGCTGTTATGTCAATGTTAAATGAATTTTTATGAGCACTTCAAAAGATTAGGTTAAAAACACATTGTATAAGATTGTTTTTCCATTTTTACATCTATATCCAATTATTATTTTGAATTATTATTTAATTATACATGTTATTATATAGCTAAAATAATATTTTAATCATATTATTTTAATTTAGCTTAAAAATTGTCACACATTTCTGTAACATTCAACTTCAGCATGAAGGGCTGTTATGTCAAAGTCAAATTAATTGACAAATATGTCAAATTAACACTTAAAAAGATCAGGTTAAAAAATGTATAAAGATTGACTACTGATTTATTTTTTTGTGTGCAATTTTTCATCTACATTCAATTATTTGAAATGATTATTTTAATCGTAAATATTATATAGTTATAACAATTTAATATTTTAATCATTAAAAATGTATATTATTTGTAATAATTTACACATTTCTGAAACATTAAACTTGAGCATGAATGGCTGTTATGTAAAAATCAAATGAATTTTTACTAGCACTTTAAAGGATTAGGATATAAAATGGATTCTGTTTGGAATTGAATCTTGACTCTGTGAATCGAAATCTAATTGAATCATGAGTGTTTTAAAGGGGTCATATGATGCAATTTCATTTTTTCCTTTCTCTTTGGAGTGTTACAAGCTCTTGGTGCATAAAGAAGATCTGTAAATTTGCAAAGACTAAAGTCTCAAATCCAAAGAGATATTCTTTATAAAGTTAAGAGTCAGCCACACCTACCTAAAACGGCTCGTTCGAACACGCCCCCACATATCTACCTAACTGTGTGGGAAGATTTGCATAACGCCGCCCAAATGTTCACGCAAAGAAAGAAGCCGTAACTTTTATTCTCGCTGTAGTATTGTTG